CATACCTTTAATATATTGCAGTAAAAAGATGCCTTTCAAATGATTTTCAAATGATGAATCGAATCAGTAGTTGTCTCACAACTATTTTGATGATCAGGACTTAATCTTTAAAGATGTGTTTGGTTATTGTCCTTTTCTGACTGACTGGCTTAACATAGCCCAATTCAAAATCTTTTAGCCTCCAGGGAACAATTATTTTTAATGCATTCTGAAAAAAAAAACTTTGAAATTTCAACATTGATTTGAAAAGAAATTATATTGAAGAAAAAATTCTTTCAACCTACCGACACGAATTATCATCCTGAGACGTGAAAGGGCAAACAAACTATACTTTAGAGTTAGCCTCTGTGTGATAGTTTTCTTAATATACTTTTTTCAGTGCCAAAACTGTGATCTTGGATGATTAACTAAAATGTGTTCATGACAACTGTAAATGTCACGATGTCATTTTATTAGATAAAGATGACAGGTTTTCATTCAAGACACTTATTTTACATCTATATAATGTAAAGTTAGTGTTAAATCCATATATTAAGTACATAAGGTTAGTAAAGCAAGAATACCCACACTTCTACAATTTACTGCTTTGATTCTTTTTTAATTCAACACATTACCACATCTACATTAATTAATATATTTTTGATAAGGTTTCTTTAAAAGCAGTTGATATAAAAAATTACATTGAATGTAGTTTTTTAAGGCAAAGAATTTTAGATCTGAGAATAATTATTTTTCAAGGGTGCCATTATACTTCTTCTGTAGCTTCTGTAGTTTCCTACAGTAATTATACAATTATATCATGATCTGGGTGGAGTATAGATCTAGTCCAGACTTTTATGTAATTTGTTTTTTGAAATATATGTATATTATAGAAATGATAGTTTTTTGTATTGCATTAAAATGAATGTACAGTAAAACTTCGAATCTCAAACATTGACATCTTGAATACCATTGATATACTGGAGTAAATTTGAAGTCCGCTCAATATATTATATTATTATCTTGTTTCGTTTCTGTAGAGAAAGTAATGTTGGGTAAAGAATGACACTTTTTGATCTGTCAGTCCTGTAAAAAAAGGAAAAATATTCAGGATTCAGTTTTTAAGTACGCAAGCTACCTATGATAAATACAAAAAAACTTAATATATTAGATAATACTTGTGCCAATATTACATTGTAATAGCCTTATTCGTTTGCCCAAGATCAGTGACGCTAATTTCACACATGCAGCATAATACTGAATTATACACTTCCTTGCTCTAACAACAGTAGCTAAGACTTGTAAACTTGTACAGCATTGTGCTCTCTACTTACTTATATTCTACTGCATGCTCTTCTGAAGGTTCATCCCATTTAAACTTGGGCTTATATTTCTTTAAAATGTCTAAATATCTGAAAGAGGTACATTAATTTATAAATACATTGACATGCAATTAACCAGGTAAACATGCCACAACAATAAAGCAGACCAAGTAAACAGATTATGATTCACCAAAATGTGATCTGCCAGATCTTGTTCACGATTTATTTGCCAAAGTTCTCCGTGAATCGTTAAAATTTCGACTTCACAGTATTTACAGTAAGTACTTATTCTAATTATTTGGTGAAGCATGACTGATATAGACTTACTGGCTGCCCACGATAGGACCCCCCCCCTCCAACTGAGTATTCATTGCCGTAAAAGTTTAGCCTGTCTGACCTCGCGGTTATCATCAGGGGCGAGGGCAAGTACACAGGACTCCATCCAAGATAACAGACTGTTATGCCCAGGTCTAAAAAACAAGACATTGTTCAAGGCCATGCAAATTTATGAATTGAAATATTTTGTTTTTAATAACAATGTCATCAACTATTAAATTATGAGTTTCTGGAGGAATTATGAAGGAAACGAGGTTTTTATCATAGTTCGAATCATTTTGAAATGTAACTGCCAGTTTTAATGAATTACCTTGATGTCACTTAAGTTTAAAATAACCTTTATATTCCTGGCAGATATGATAAATTACCTAATTGTCAAACAGTAACATTTTGAGATTATGCCTCTAATTAAATCTTTGTTAATTACCTAGATGGATTGGAGGAGTCATATGTCATCAAACTAAATGCATCCACAACAGGTAGAAGTTCATCAAAATCTGATTTACCAAACATTCCTTCAACATTGCTGTAAATTTATAAAACCAGAAGTCTCTGTCGAAACTGAAGCTCTAGTGTTTTTTTCTTATAGCAAAAGAAGAGAAAAGTAGCAGTTGGGAATTGAAACTTTACAACAGCAATAAATAGCAGGGTTGGGGTAATTGAATAAAGTAATTGTAATTGAGTGTAATTAATTACATTTTTCAAAGTAATTGGAAGTAATTTGTATTTGAGCGAGCCTTCAACTACAAGTAATTGAATGTATTTAAATACATTTCAAAAAAGGTCATGTATTTTCAATTACTTTTCAATTACATTTCAATTACTTTTTTTTTCAAAATGAAAGTTTATATTTAAAAAGGTGTCTTATACTGATACATAGTTTTATACTGGTGGGTTTATATTACTTATTCCCATGTTTTATAAATCTCAGTTCTCCCTATTCCCACTTGCAAATAACAATGATTGTTTAGATAGTTAATTTGTCTCACAGTAATTAGACTAACTACATCCCCTTTTAGATTTCCCTGTATTCTATTCATTTTAAGATAGAAAATAATGAATGGAATTGTGATAGATATTATTCATTTCCTTCAAAAATATGGATTTGAGAAAGTAACAAAAAAGATCTTACCATACACCATACTAGTGTAGCATGGGCTTGTGTTTGTACAATAATTAATTGTCTAATAATGTTTACTTTGTTTATACAGTGTGTCACACTCATTATAAGGTAAAGGTCTAATTTTGTCCAGGTGTGAACCCCTATAATACCCAAGAACAAAAACACTGAATAAAAGTTCGAATTCGATCGCTATAGAAAAAATCTTATTTAAAATAATCTTTATTTTCTTTTTTTTATAAAAATAAAACTCGAAGTAATTGAAATGTATTGAATTACATTTGTCAAAGTAATTGAAAGTAATTAATTACATTTGAAAAAATCAATGTAATTGTAATTGCAAGTAATTGACAAAATTATCAATGTATTTGAAAGTAATTAATTACATTTCAAAGTAATTGACCCCAAGCCTTATAAACAGAATAATGATTCTTGATTAAGTCTCTTTATGTTCTTAGTGTAGTCTACTTGCATGTCACATTATATTATAATCATACTTAAAGTAAAAACTGTATTTGGGGTTGCATTTTGATAGAAATTTCTATCTTTAGTAAGCAATGCAAAATGTTCATCGAAATCAAGAAATGATAAATCGAATTATGTATCTTAGTGTAGTCTACTTGTGTGCCAAGTTATATTGAAATTAGACGAAAACTTTAGGAGGAGTAGCATTTAGAAAGTATTTCATATAAAGTTTTATGTTTAGTAGCCATGGCAACATCGTTCATAAAAATCGAAAACCGATATACCACATTGTGTATCTTAGGGTAGTCTATTTCTATGCCAAGCTATATTGAAATCAGACCAAAACTGTAGGAGGAGTAGCATTTTGAATGTTTTTCACAGAAATTTCTAATTTTAGTAACCTCAGCAACATCGTTCATCGAAATCAAAAACTGATACAGAGAATTATTATGTATCTTAATGTAGTCTACTTGTGTGCCAAGTAATATTGAAATCAGACCAAAACTGTAGGAGGAGTAGCATTTTGAAAAATTGTTTACAGACAGACAGATAGACAGACTGATAGACAGCTAGACAGACAGAAGCCGGACGCCGGACGCATTACTATCGCATAAGCTCTACTGGTCGTTGACCAATAGAGCTAAAAATCGATACATAGAATTATGTATCTTAGTGTAGTCTACTTGTGTGCCAAGGTATGTGGAAATCAGACCTAAACTGTAGGAGGAGTAGCTGCAGAACTGTAGCTCTCCGAAAAATATATTGAAAAAAACTGTATATTTATTGCGCACAAAAAGTTGCGCTTGTGTATGGATTAATTCTTCCAAATTCTTACCTCAATTGCAAAAAATGTAGATTTCAAAAAAATCTATACTCTTCTATCAAGTACTTTCGTAGTTTACATCTACAGGAAACACGTTGGGCCAAATTATCTTACAAACCAAAATGGCAGTATAAACAGACGAAATGTTCATGATCTCGATTTCAGGGCCAGGAGAGCTATAAACAACAACTATACAGTATGTTTTGTTGTGGAAACATTGAAAGATTATGGTAGGAATACACGGTTAGTAATATTTTTAGATTATAGTTTTGAAAACATGGAGAAATAAATCGATAAACAGCGTACTTTTTTGTGCGCAATAAATATACAGTTTTTTCAATGGGTGGCACTGTAACTCTCCGGTCTGTCAAATTATTTTTTCGGAGAGCTACAGATCTGCAGCTATAGGAGGAGTAGCATTTTGAATGTTTTTCACAGAAATGTCTATTTTTAGTAACCCAGCAGCATCTTTGATCGACATCAAAAACCTATATGCAGAATTATGTATCTTTGTGTAGTCTACTTAGCTTGTGTGCCAAGTTATATTGAAATCAGACCAAAACTGTAGGAGGAGTAGCATTTTAAAAAATTGTTTACAGACAGACAGACAGACAGACGGACAGACAGATATACAGCTAGACGGACGGTTGATAGAAGCATTACTATCGCATAAGCTCTCTTGGTCTCTGACCAGTAGAGCTAAAAACAAAAACATTTTATTCATCAAGTCTTTTCTCTTTCTTGCAAAACCACCCATAAAGCCCTTAAAAGAATAAATCAAACTCTTGATGATAAGTTGATTGTGTGCATCTTTCTGTTTACGTACATTAAATTGAACCATATCCTGTAAAGTATCAGTTTTTAAGTTCGGAAGTCTACCCACTTTAAAATTCATAGCTCCTTATGCATTTGTATGCTATGTAACAGCATTTATGTTTAGCAAGATTCAACAAACATGGCCGTCAGTAAACCCCAATATCCACTGGGGTCTCATCAAGAGCATATTGAAATGTGTAAAACCCATGATTTACCTACTGATGTGATATGTGAGGACTGTAATGAATTCATTTGTGGTAAGTGTGCAAAAACAGACCACAGAGATCATGAGTGGAATGCTATATCCACGGCAGCCTCCCAAAGAAGGAGAGGTCTGCTTAAATTTCTGACAAAGATCAAAGAAGGGGATCTGCCTAGGATTGATGAGAAGATCGAGAAGGTTTCGAAAGAGATCACAGAAAATAAAGAACTGTGTGACTCTGAGATTAAAAAACTTCAGAAACATATTGATGAGATAATAGTCAGGCTGAACGATATCAGTGGGAAAAATGAAAAGAGATTGAGAGATAATTTGGAGGAAAAAAATGAAAAAGTGAACAGTATGAAATCTGAGATGGACAAAAAGAAGAAAAAAATTCAAGAGGTAGTTAAGTTTACGGATGACAACAAGAGTACCATGTCGGATTTCAGCTTGATTGACAACCACAGAGAACTGACAAAAATGCTGTCTGGCCTGGATGTTGAAATGAAGAACTGTAAACATTCACTGAGATACAGCACAGGAGAAATCAGTGAGGATGCTCTGAAGAATATGATTGGAAAAACTCAGGATTTAGATGATTTCAGTTTGATTGAAACAAGCACATTTAAATATGGAGATAGCATAAACCGTTTATTGGAGGCATTATGTAAAGCCCATTGTTACATAGGAGACTTTAAGTCACCTTACTTTGAACAAGTGAACAAAAAAGGTGAAATAAAACATAGGTATAATATTGCCGCTAATGACATGTGTGTGACTGATACTGGTTATGTTTATTTCACTGAATTTAAGAACAAGTCCATTAGCCGTCTGTCACCATCAGGATCTGTCTCTACAGTCATCAGTACAGATCCACTGGTACCAATAGGAATCTGTCAGTCAGTAGACAGTGGACTACTGGTTACCTTGATGGACAATGTATCAGATCATTACAAATTAGAGTCACACAGCAGACGTCTGGTGAGACACATCACAGTGACAGGTGAAGTCTTCCGTGAGTATGAGTACCAGGAGGCCGGTCAGACCAGACTGTTTACAAGGCCATTCAGAGTCACACAGAACAGTAACCGTGATATCTGTGTTGTGAACCGTACAAGTGACAAAACAGGTGATCTAGTGATAATGTCTCCCTCTGGTCGTATGAATTCTGTCTACCGTGGATAGAACCTGATATATTACTTATGTCCAGGTGATGTAGTGTGTGATTCCCTCTGTAACATCCTTGTTACTGACCTAGGTAACAAACAGATCCATTTGCTGAGTCCTGACGGGGAGTTCCTGAAGTTCTTACTGGCAGAGAATGAAGAGAACCATCCAGTTTTACTGTCCCTATACAAGTCTACACTATGAGTTGGATACTTTGAAGGATTTGTCAAAGTGTTTCAGTACATGATGTAGAATGGATTACAAATGAATTGTGATATAATGCATTGTAATATTCATTTGAAGCTACATGTACAATCTTAAAAGTTTGCAAACTTTATCAACCTTCATTACATAAATGTATTTGGTAAAAAATACTTTTTTGTTTTTGTTTTTTTACAAATATGATATACACTCATAACATCACAATGGCTGTATCTGCTTAAATTGTTAAATCAATATTATAATATAATTGCCTTCAATTAATTACACTATAATTTAACCTTACCCAGGATACACTTGGGTGGTATCACCAGAATCAGTGTTTTTCCTTCCTCATCAAAAGTCTGACCTACATGCTTCAGGAAATGGACCAGTTCTCTACACATAGTCAATAATGCATTATATAAGAAGTCACAAATTCTGAAGTTTGTGTCCTTTGTTGATTTAAAAAAAAAAGATATGAAAGTTTATGTGCATGGATTAACTTAAGTTTGCAATGTATTAGTATATCTGTTTAATGTATCAGTGATACAAAATAAATTATATGATACATCAAAAACATGATCGGAACTTACATTTATTTTCATATTCTTGGTGTAAAGTACATGTAAAAAAGATAATTTCAAATTTTAATATGATACTTGTTTAGAAGATGTAACAAATATTTAGGTATCCTTCATTCTACTCAGGACATGTATTTATTTACAGATATATTTATTTATTTATTTTTGATGAAGGCAAGTAAGATAGATTGATTTGATCATTGTAATAGAGTCATTATCATATATAAATAATAATTATTATTTCAAGGAAGCTTACAAGTGAACTATACTGAGATCTGTGTGTATGTATATAAGTACCTACTTTCTGTATTGACCACCAAGCTGGGACCAGATTTCTATTGTTGAACCAGCAAATTTCTTCTCCTGTAAAATGTGATTCTGTATGATAGTTTGACATTGCAATACTGTACAATTTTGTTTCTGTCAGAACTCTGGTCTATCACAGTGAGTACCACTTTACTCTCTCACAGTGAGTAAAGTTGTACTATATGTGAGAGAGTAAAGTTGTACTCACTGTGAGAGAGTAAAGTTGTACTCACTGTGACAGAGTAAAGTTGTACTCACTATTCGACAGAGTAAAGTTGTACTCACTGTGAGAGAGTAAAGTTGTACTCACTGTGAGAGAGTAAAGTTGTACTCACTATTCGACAGAGTAAAGTTGTACTCACTGTGAGAGAGTAAAGTTGTACTCACTGTGAGAGAGTAAAGTTGTACTCACTGTGACAGAGTAAAGTTGTACTCACTGTGACAGAGTAAAGTTGTACTCACTGTGACAGAGTAAAGTTGTACTCACTGTGACAGAGTAAAGTTGTACTCACTGTGACAGAGTAAAGTTGTACTCACTATTCGACAGAGTAAAGTTGTACTCACTGTGACAGAGTAAAGTTGTACTCACTGTGAGAGAGTAAAGTTGTACTCACTGTGACAGAGTAAAGTTGTACTCACTGTGACAGAGTAAAGTTGTACTCACTGTGACAGAGTAAAGTTGTACAGTGGCTGGAACGTTATTGTTGACAACTTACACGAACGATCACGTTACACGCACGATTCCGCACGATTAACGCACGATTAAACCTGATACACGAACGATCCTTCACGTTCACGATTCTACACGTTACACGATCTTACACGATTGCTAACGCAAACGCACGATTCTTCACGCAAAATAGTTCAAATTATTTAGGAATCGATATTTCCAAAACGAAATACGGCTTTATATTGATTTTAGATTCAAAGAATTATCAATAAATATATTAATATATCATAGACTTTGAAAAAAAAAAACGGAAATGGGTATTTCTGGTACTAAGTACATGTAAGATTTTTTTTTATTATTTTAGATAATAAATAATTATTTAGATAATTCTCCGACATAAGAAAACAGATTTTTTTTATTCTATCAGAAGATAGTAGTAGGTGGACCGTAAAATTTGATTGAATTGGATTTCATAATATGTAGAATGGGGGATACGATTGGGGAAAAAATGGCAGCATTGAATGACTTAACTCAAAATTATATCTATATGTTTTCATTATTTTAACATGTTTATGAATCTCTTAAACATGAAAAACCACATTGCAAATTATTGTTTTATTTTAAAAATTAATTAAAAGTAAGCTACAGAGATAAACACTGTTAAACAAAACCCCGAAAATCATGTGCGTGACGTGCATGTACATTCGCCGACTAAACATTTATGTAAGCTTTGAAAATTATTTATTTATTTGTAAAAATATTTCTTTTTTATTATTTGAAAAAAAAAATATCTTACCACAATTAGCAGCAAACAAGAATGAACTTCAGAAAAATATAGTAAAAAATCTTAGTACGGTTTATCACAATAAGACACGCTATTTGAAGAGAACATAATATTGTACGACTTACTATATTGCTTGTTTACAAGCGATAGTTAGTTCGTTCCGCATTCAATTATGTAAACTGCGCTTCATTCCTTTTAATTGGATTGAAAAATAAAATATAAACGAAATACTTGTTTCACAGATAACATTCCGATAAAAACTTACAAAACGAAATTTACACGTTTCTAAACGCACGTTCACGCACGATTAAAACCGCAAACGATTGAGTCTGTTACACGCACGATCTCGCACGTTACACGAACGATCACGCACGATGCACGAACGATTCTACACGATTGGTTTGTCAACAATAACGTTCCAGCCACTGTACTCACTGTGACAGAGTAAAGTTGTACTCACTGTGACAGAGTAAAGTTGTACTCACTGTGACAGAGTAAAGTTGTACTCACTATGACAGAGTAAAGTTGTACTCACTGTGAGAGAGTAAAGTTGTACTCACTGTGACAGAGTAAAGTTGTACTCACTATTCGACAGAGTAAAGTTGTACTCACTGTGACAGAGTAATGTTGTACTCACTGTAAGAGAGTTAAGTTGTACTCACTGTGACAGAGTTAAGTTGTACTCACTGTGACAGAGTAATGTTGTACTCACTGTGACAGAGTAATGTACACACTAATAAAGCCCATCTACCGAGAACCCTAACAAATCAAAATCACCTGGATATATTGGTATTAATCTAAAAGCACTCTTAACATCAACTTTCGCTAAAAGAGCCCCTTTCCCTAACACAGAAATCATGTCTACCACTTTGTCAAATGAAGAATAATTTACTGTACATAGATGACTTTATTTTGCTGGGAAAGGGGGAACTTCAGAGTGTATTCTCCTTATGGAAAATTTCAAAGTGTTACAATGGATATTGATGTCCCATTAGCTGAGTATAAAACTGCAGGCTCTACCACAAAAATCACATATTTAGGATTAGAAATTGACACTATTGAAATGGTCATACGAATACCTCAACCCAAAGTTGTCATGTTGATAGATATAATAAAAGACATGTTAGGAAAAAAAGAAGGTTACCCTTCGAGATTTACAGTCGTTAGTAGGGATGCTTAATTTTTTTGGTAAAGCAATTAGGTCAAGCAAGGCATTTAATAGAAGATTTTATGATGGAAAGAGTGGTGCTTCCAAACCTCATCATTTTATTAGAATTTCAATAGGAATGAGAAGGACTTGGAAAAGTGGTTAAAATTCTTGCAAAAATTTAATGGTGTATCAATTTTCCCGAGTCCGAGTGGACAAATTTCAATGTCTTAGAATATTTACTGATAGCGCAGGTGCTAATAAGTTAGGTTGTGGTGCATACTTTAAATTAAAGGTAGCTGGACATTTTTAGCATGGCCTGGGGAATGGAAAGGTCAAAATATAATGAGAGATATAACTTTTTTAGAATAAGTGCCTGTAGTATTATCAATAGAAATTTGGGGAAGTTGCCTTCAAAACTGGAAAGTTTTGTTTCACATTGATAACATTGCACTGGTCAGTGTTATTAACAAGCAAACCTCTCCTTCAAAAAGGACAGTGGATTTAATAAGATATTTTGTTTTAAAATTAATGAATTTCAATGTTATTTTTAAAGCTAAGCATATACCAGGTGTATTTAATAGTATAGCAGATGAATTTCTCGTAAACAGTGGAGACATTTCAAAGACCTGGCAAAAATGCAAAAGAGGTGCCACAAAACATACCCGAGGAATTTGTGAAAATGATCTACAGCTTGAAGTTGAAAAATTACTGGAAGCATCCTTGTTGGGGTAAGATTTATATGAAAGCATATCATATATTTATTCATGAGTTAATTATGAGTGTAATATGTTATTAATCTTTATAAAGAAAAGGTCAACTGTCTGTCATATTTTGTAAATTTATTTTTATATTTTTTTAGTAATGCATCATTACATTCATGTGAATTTACATTTGTAAGTAATGTCATGTTTTTCTTATTTTTTTCATTTGTACAGCACACTGTCATTACTGCCAATATCATTACCATTATCATAACTTGTAATATCATTGATATTCATAATTAATAAACCTATAAAAAAGAACAAATCTGGTTATCACAAAGATGACGAAGTTTGATTGTTTTCACAATGCATACATATACATTGCATGTATTATGAGTAAAATTTAAATGGTTTATGTTTCACATGTTTCCACATGCTAAAACATTTAACATTTTATATATTGGATATATAAAAATGCTGATATTTTGTATACCACAGAGAAAAAATCTTTAACGTGTCGTTTAAAAGATCGTTTTTTCTGGAGTTCGAAAAAGAGTAAGATCACTGGGGGCTGCCAAAAAAACTTTCAAAAAAAAAAACCTGATCATTTAATCCAACATTCCGCTAAAAAATGGCGGCAAAATTTCCCACTCGGCCTTAACACACGATTAATCAATCAATCTGAAATAATTTTGTTAAAAGTTGGTCAAATATGCTAACTCAGCTAACAAATGTCATAAACTATAATTAATGTCCTGTGGTTTGTTTTGTATGTATTTTAAGTAGTTGTGGGAAATATGCATAATTAATTTGAATTTTTTCTTATTTTACGATAATGTCAATTCTGATTTCCTTGATCAAAATCTTAAAATTATGAATCAGACAAAATATCATTACATCGTGCTGCTAGGTTAATGGAAAACACGAAAGTTTACAGCTATATCTCATGATGGAAATAAATGATAAAATAAAGAATATGTTGATCCTGGCAGCGCTAGCTCAAGCCTTATCAATGACAGAGCAATCTCAAGTTCTAACAAAGGGACAAAGATTGACATTTTTTAAAGACACTGAAAATAATCAAAGAAAAAAGTAATGATTAACAAAACACAACAAGATTTATTATCTAGAGATCACAATAAATCATAAAAGTAGTCCAGTCCTTGTCCAATTTCCCAGATAGAGATTCCTGTTCCCAGTTGTTTAGCAAGATCTATTCGTTTCTGTAGAGAAAGTAATGTTGGGTAAAAAATGACACTTTAATCTTTGATCTCTCAGTCCTGAAAAAAGGAAAAAAAAAATCAGGATTCAATTGTCAATAACGCAATCTACTTATGACAAATATAAACAACTTAAGGTAGGATTCTTCTCTGGTTTCTGACTAGATGGAATATTCAAAGTACATTTGTTGATATGTCTTATATATTTAGATGTAAGAGATTTAAAAGACCACATTTTTCTTTCCTTATCGCAATTATACAACTTTAAATAGATAAACTGCATTTGAAAACTAGCAGGGACTGTATTTTTGGCGGAATGGTGGCGTATGAAAATATCTTCTTTTCTGCCTCTCAAAACTATTATAGAACATTGAAATTTGTTCTAATTTTTACACAATCAAAGACTAGACGAAATTTTCAAATGTAAGTTGAATTAATAATAAGGGACTAAAGTTTCAAAATATATCAAGATTTTTCACATATACTAGAACTATATTGGCTTTTAAATGCTTCAAATCTAGGCCTAAGTACAGATTTGAGCCAAAAATCAGTAAAAAGTGTTATTTCTCTCTTAGTAAACGATCAAAAATTCTAGTTTTTGTATAATTTTGTACCTTTATGTGACAACTTTACTATATGTGAAAATTGGAAAAAGTTAAATATAGGAAGCATATAAAAATAACTAATAAATCCTATAAATTTAAGAAAAGTAGAGGAAATTCAGATAAGCAAATATCCATTTTATTTAAAATATCCATGTCAGTTTGGTAATATCATCTTATAGGCCTTGTATGGTAGCATCTTTTATGCAAAAAGAAAAACATGCAATCTTTTGAATTACAAGTAGGGATCGCATGATTGGAAACAGTAAGTTTTTATTCTTAATGTCCAGGAAAAAGGTAATGACCTTGACCTGACCTTGCCTCTAGCATTAAACGGTCAAATTTAATCTCACTGATACCATCACGTAGTGATATTGTCCTCTTGATTCTGTGAAAATTTCATTAATTTTTAAATACAAGAAATGTGAGAAGAATCCTACCTTAATACATAAGATAATATTTGTGCCAATAATAGTCTTATTCGTTTCCCCAAGATCAGTGAGACTAATTTCACCCATGGAGCATTATACTGAATTATACCCTTCTTTGATCTGACAACAGTAGTTAAGACTTGTAAACTTTTACTAACAGCATTATGCTGAATCTTGTCCTCTCTACTTACTTATATTCTGCCGCATGCTCTTCTGAAGGTTCATCCCATTTAAACTTGGGCTTATATTTCTTTACAATGTCTAAATATCTGAAAGAAGTATATTCATGAGGCCATTAACCTGTAATTAACTAGTAATACATGGCCTAACAATAATGCAGACAAAAAAAAACAAAAAAAAACAGATTATGAATCTCCAAAATTACATATGCCAAATGTTATATTTTGTAGACAATCTATTTGCCGATTTGAAAGTTCTTAGCTTACCGCTAAAAATTTGACATTACAGTCAATACTTATTCTAATTATTTGGTGTAACACGACCAAGATAGACTTACTGGCTGCCTATGATAGGACCCCCCCTCCAACAGAGTATTCATTGCCGTAAAAGTTTAGCCCCAGGAGAATTTTCTGTCTGACCTCGGGGTTATCATCAGGGGCGAGGGCCAATACACAGGACTCCATCCAAGATAACGGGCTGTTAGGTCCAGGTCTAAAAAATACGATATTGTTCAAGGGCCATGCAAATTTATGAATTGAAATATTTTGTTTTTTATAACAAATTTTTCACATGAAGCAAACAATGTTTCTGTCAGAATTTCAAATATCTTTGTTTGTAACTTACAGATTTAATAAACTACCTTGATGTCACTTAAGTTTAAGAATTACCTTTATATTCCCAGCAGATGTGATAAATTACTTAACTGTCAATCAGTAACATTTTGAGATGATGCCTCTAATTAAGGAGGAATGCAACACCAACTTTTAATTTTATAGATCTCCAAGTCAAGCTTTATAAACAATGGTTTCAGCATTGAAAGGCCGACATTAGCTCTTAATTATTTTATATGAATTTTATTTGTATTTTTTCAAAGGAAATGAAAAAAAATTATTTACATCAAAATAAAATTCTTTCTTGTAAACATTTTGCTGTAAATGAATGCATCACATGAATACCTAATAAATTATGTAAAGAAAAGCCGAATACATATTAAAATGTTTTTAATAAAAAAATATTTATTAAAATAAAACACATAATTTGTGTACATTTTTTAAACTTGTGGTTAAAATCTTCTTAAAAGCAGTCACAACTGGGGAGAACATGTTTGTTAATCATATTTATAAAAGAAATTGAAACGATATACCCAAATTTTAGAGAAATTAATTTTTTTTAAATTTTGGCCAATCTCCATCAAAATTAAACCTATCCCAACCATAATTGTACAATTATTGGAGATAAATAACATTTTTATTTTCATGAATAATTTAAAAAAAAATTAAAAAGTCTATAGCCAGCCTTTCTTTACATATTCTATTAGATATTCATATGATGCATTCATTTACAGCAAACTTATAACTCAAAAACAACTTATTTGGATATAAATAATTTTTTTCATTTCTTTGAAAAAAATACAAAAAAAAATTAATATAAAATAATTAAGAGTTAATATCGACTTTTCAATGCTGAAACCATTGTTTAAAAAGGATGGACCAAAGATCTAAAAATAAAAAATAGATGTGGCATTCCACCTTAAATCTTTGTTAATTACCTAGACGGATTGGAGAAATCATACGTCATCAAATTAAATGCATCCACAACAGGTAGCAGCTCATCAGAGTCTGATTTACCAAACATTTTATTTATCAAACTTTTTCTCTTTCTTGCATCTTATAAAGGATTAAAAAAAACACTCGTAAAGCCCATGATAATGACTAAAGCAAACTATTTGTGATAAGTTGATTGTGTGCATCTTCCTGTTTTCGTACATTTAATTGAACAATAACCTGTCAACACGTTATCAAGTGTTTTTAAGATCGGAAGTCTACCCACTTCAAAATCCATAGTTCCTTATGAGTAACAGCAGTTAAATAAGGCAAAATTCAACAAACATGGCAGTCAGTAAACCTAAATATCCCCTGGGCTCTCCTCAAGAGCATATTGAAATGTGCGGATCCCATGAGTTACCTATAGATATGATGTGTGAGGACTGTGATAAATTCATTTGTGGAAAATGTGCCAAAACAGACCATAAAGATCACGAGTGGAACACTCTCTCCACGGCAGCCACCCAAAGGAGGAGGGGTCTGCTTAAATTTCTGACAAAGATCAGAGAAGGGGATCTGCCTGGAATTGATGAGAAGATTGAGATGGTTTCAAAACAGATCACAGAAAATGAAGAACTTTGTGACTCTGAGATTAAAAAACTTCAAAAGCATGTTGATGAGATAATGGCCAGGTTATTAGAAATCAGAAACCACAATGAGGAAATATTGAGAGGCAATTTGGAGAAAAAAAATGAAAAATTGAAAAGTAAGAAATCTGAGATGAACAAAAAGAAGAAAGAAATTCAAGAGGTAGTTAAGTTCATGGAGGACAACAAGAGTACCATGTCGGATTTCAGTTTGATTGACAACCACAGAGAACTAACAAAAATGCTCTCTGGCCCGGATGTTGATATAAAGAACTATAAACATTCAGCGAGATACAGTAAAGGTGAAATCAGTGATGAGGTTCTGAAGAATATGACTGGAAAAACTCTGGATTTAGATGATTTTAGTTTGACTGAAACAAACTCATTTAAATATGGAGATGACATCATACGTTTATTGGAGGCATTGTGTGAAGACCATTGTTACATAGGAGATAAGAATTCACCTTACTTTGAACAATTAGTCAACACAGAAGGTGAAATAAAATACAGATATAATATTGCTTCCAGTGATATGTGTGTGACTGATACAAGTGACGTTTATTTCACTGACTTCAGTAACAATTCCATCAGTCGTCTGTCACCATCAGGATCTGTGTCCACAGTTATCAGTGCAGATCCACTGCGACCAGTAGGAATCTGTCAGTCAGTGGACAGTGGACTACTGGTCACCTTGAGAGATGATGAATCAGGTTATTTCAAGTTAGACTCACACAGCAGACGTCTGGTGAGACACATCACAGTGACAGGTGAAGTCATCCGTGAGTATGAGTACCAGGAGGACGGTCAGACCAGACTGTTTACATATCCAGTCAGAGTCACACAGAACAGTAACAGTGATATCTGTGTTTTGAACTTTACAAATCCCACTACAGGTGATCTAGTGATTATATCTCCCTCTGGTCGTATGAAATCTATCTACCATGGACAAAATCTGACAGAGGACTTTTTTCCAGCTGATATCGTTTGTGACTCCCTCTGTAACATCCTTGTTACTGACCTTTACAACAAACAGATCCATATACTGAGTCCTGACGGGGAGTTCCTGAAATTCTTACTGACAGAGAATGAAGTGAACTCTCCATACAGATTATCACTGTACAAGTCTACACTGTGGGTAGGATACTATGAAGGACTTGTCGAAGTGTTTCGATACAAGGTGTAGAATGTATTACAAATAAATTGTGATATAATGCATTGTAATATTCATTTGAAGCTACATGTACAATCTTAAAAGTCTGCAAAATTTTTCAACCTTCAATATACATACATGTATTTGGAAAAAAAATATTTTTTTTTTGTTTTTGTTTTTTTACAAATACGATATACACTGTATCTAACATCACAATGGCTGTATCTGCTTCAATTGTAAAATCATTGTTATAATTGTCTTTAATTCATTAAACTAGAATCCAGTTTTATCCAGGATACACTGGTGTTGGTTTCACCAGAATCAGTGTTTTTCCTTCTTCGTCAAAACCATAACCTACGTGCTTTAGGAAATGGACTAATTCTCTACAGAAAGTTAATGATGTATTATTTATATGATAATGACTCAATTACAATATCTTGTAACAAATTCTGGTACAAACTAGATCAAGTGAATTTATCTTACTTGCCTCCATCAAAAATGAATAAAAAAAAATACATCTGTAAATAAATAAATGAGTAGTCTCAATGAAGAAGACCTAAATATGTGGAATGTCTTCTAAAATAGGTATCTTATTAAAATTCAAAATTCCTTTTCTTACATGTTCTTCACAACAAGAATTTGAAAATAAATGTTCGAATCATGTTTTAGGTGTATTACCGTATAATACCTCTTAACCGCCCCTGTCCCTGTAAGCTCCCCCTTAGGTCTTTTTCATTTGTCAGGAAAAAAGGACCCCGGCCTGTACAGTGATTAAAATCAACTAGAATCGTATAAAAATTTGACTAAAGTGAAAGTGAAACTTGTCTGTTATCCAATTTCTCAATGGAACATGAATAATTTAGCATAATTTGGGTGGATTATCTTCAATTTAAGTAAAGTTAGACATTATTTAAGTGGTTCCTTTAATTTATATATTTTTTTTCAAAAGATTTTTTGGAGTTAAAAATGGCATTAAATATAAAGAGAATACCAGAATAACCGTCCTCTTTTTGCAATTTTCTAAGCGCCAGGAGCGGTAAATAGGGATTAAACAGTATCTGTTCTTTTGTATCACTGATACATTAAACAGACATGTACTATTAAAATACATTGCAAAGTTAACCCATGAACCCAAACTTTTCATATCATTTTGAAAAATCAACAAGGGACAAAAATTCAGAATTTGTGACTTCTTATATAATATCATTTCAAGGGAGTTTAGAAATGAATTATAATGAGATCTGTGTGTATGTGTATTATTACTTACTTTCTGTATTGACCACCAAGCTGGGACCAGATCTCTATTGCTAAACCAGCAAATTTCTTCTTCTGTAAAAAGTACATCTTTATGATAGTTTGACATTGCATACTGTACATTTTGTATCTGCCAGGACTCTGGGCTAAAGTGTTTCCTGGCAATTATCACGATGATAATAGATTTAGGTAAAAAAAAATACATGTGTAATCATCTTTTTTAAGATATTAAAGTTATTCATCATCTAAAAGAAGAGTTGAACTTACTGTGACAAAATTTATTTAAAAAATAAGATATTATTTTTTTAGTTTTATCGGGATGTAAAACAAGTTGGTCACGTGATCATATCTTATAAAGCCCGAAGGCTTTATGGAAAATTTGATCAAGTGCCAGTCCGTTTTACATCCCAATAAAACTCAGAAAATGATACCTTATTACTTATATTTACATTTGTGACTGATTTATTACAAAAAATAAGGTACTTAAGTTTAAAGTCCATAAAGAATTGATCTTTTCAAATCTTAACGGTATAAATTGAATGTGTTGAACACGTCGATCACTTATGACGTCACTATGAAATTACGTAGAATGCTTATGACTAAACAATCAATTTACGGTCACATGACGAACGTGTTTTACAGAGAAATAAAACACCTTGTTCAAATAGTGTTATATAAAGGCAATTTTTGGCAAATGTCAACATTAATTTATACTTACTGTAAATAAATTAAAAGTTCATTTGTACAGAATTTTTAAGAGGTTCATGTTTCACATGTTTCCACATGCTGAAACTTTGAAGATTTTATAAATTAGATATATATTCCAATGGTGATATTTCATTCACCACAGAGAACCGATCTTTTAAGTGTCATTTAAAAGCTCGTTTCTCTGAAGTTCGAAAAAGAGTAAGCTCAATGGGGGCTGCCAAAGGAAAAAAAACTTTCAAAAAACTGATCTTTTAATCTAATATTCCGCCGAAACATGGCGGGAAAATTTCCCACTCGGCGTTAACACACAATCAATCAATCTGAAATAATTGTGTTAAAAGTTGGTCAAATAGGCTGACTCAGCTAAAAAATGTCATAAACTATAATTAAGGCCAAAAAAAAATTAATCAATAGTTTCTCAGGCACCGCCGCATCAGTTCAAAAACGGCCGCATTGATCATTTTTATTGACATATTGAAAAGGGAAATAACTCAATTTTCTATTTTTCCAAGTTGAAAAAGAAAATTGAGTTATTCCCCTTCTCATGAATGCTAAGATAGACGTTTTTATTAGAAAAACAATATTCTTCTAAATTTACAGTGTTTTATGAATAAACTTTTAAATAAATGTTTAGAATAACATTATTTAAAGATGAATACATATCATAACTAATTTCAGAGAACAAAAATTAAGAATTAGAAGATATTATCATTTTATTGAACAAATGGCTTTAAAAAGTTGTAAAACCTGCTACAAAAAAAAAAAAAAAAAAAAAAAAAAAAAAAAGCCTGCCTGCCGCATTGAATTTTGATTTTTTTGGCCTGAGAAACTATTAATTAATTTTTTTTGGCCTAAGGTCTTGTGGTTTGTTTTCTATGTATTCTAGTAGTGGGAAAATGCATTGAATTGAAATTTTTCTTATTTTAACGGAATGTTAATTCTGACTTCCTTGTTTTAAATCAGAAAGTTATGAATCGGACAAGATATTAATACATTGTGCTGCTAGATAAATGGCAAATGCAAAATTTTATATCCAGATATGCTGATCCTGGCAGTGTTCTCTCAAGTTCTTTCAATGACAGAGCAATTTCGAGTGCTACCCAAAGGACAATGTCGACATTGTTAAAGACACTGAAAATAATCAAAGAAAAAAGTAATAATTAACAAAACATAACAAGATTTATTATCTAGAGATCACAATAAATCATAAAAATAGTCCAGTCCTTGACCAATTTCCCAGATAGAGATTCCTGTTCCTAGTTGTTTAGCAAGTTCTATTCGTTTCTGTAGAGAAAGTAACGTTGGGTAAAAAATTACACTTTTTGATCTGTCAGTCCTGAAAAAAGAAAAGTATTCAGGATTCAATTTTCAAGTATGCAAACTACCTATGATAAATACAAACAGCTTAATATATAAGATAATATTTGTGCCAATATCACATTGTAATAGCCTTATATGTTTGCCCAACATCAGTGAGACTAATTTCACCCATGCAGCATAATACTGAATTGCTCTGTAAATAGTAGTTAAGACTTGTATACTTGTACAGCATTATGCTGAATCTTGTCCTCTCTACTTACTTATATTCTGCTGCATGCTCTTCTGAAGGTTCATCCCATTGAAACTTGGGCTTATATTTCTTTAAAATGTCTAAATATCTGAAAGAAGTATATTTATGAGGACATTAACATACAAAATTACATCTGGCAAATGTTTTATTTTGTAGACAATCTATTTGCCGATTTGAAAGTTCTTAGTGATCCGCTAAAAATTTGACATTACAGTCAATACTTATTCTAATTATTTGGTGAAGCACGACCAAGATAGACTTACTTGCTGCCTACGATAGGACCTCCCCCTCCAACTGAGTATTCATTGCCGTAAAAGTTTAGCCCCAGGAGAATTTTCTGTCTGACCTCGGGGTCAGCATAGGGGGCGAGGGCCAATACACAGGACTCCATCCAAGATAACGGGCTGTTAGGCCCAGGTCTAAAAAACACGATATTGTTCAAGGCCTTGCAAATTTATGAATTGAAATATTTTGCTTTTAATAACAAAGTTATCAGCTAGTCATGAGTTTCTGGAGCAATTATAAAGCAAACAAGGTTTCTGTAAGAATATCAATCATCTTTATAATTGGAACTGACAGATTTAATGAATTACCTTGATGTCACTTAAGTTTAAAAATTACCTTTATATTCCTTGCACTTGTGACAAATTACCGTATTTAATTGTCAAACAATAACATTTTGAGATGATGCCTATAATTAAATCTTTGTTAATTACCTAGATGGATTGGAGAAATCATACGTCATCAAACTAAATGCATCCACAACAGGTAGAAGCTCATCAAAGTCTGATTTACCAAACATCCCTTCAACATTCCTTTAAATTTATAAAAAAAAAAATAGAACTGTCAAAACAGGACAAAATACCCCCCGTTGGGTTTTTCAGAAGTAATTTTTTCCATAATAAAGACATTTATCAAACACAAATTATGAAATTTTTCTTCCAGTGACCTTGAACTTCCCCAAATGACCTTGGGTCAAGGTCATGACACACCCTTGGGTCATGGGCAATTTTTGTGTGAGATGAGAACCTACCAAGTTTATCCATAAGAAAGATATGGACTGGACACGAATTATGAAATTTTTCTTCCAGTGACCTTGAACTTCCCCAAATGACCTTGGGTCAAGGTCACGACACACCCATGGGTCATGGGCAATCTTTGTGTGAAAAGAGAACCTACCAAGTTTATCCATAAGAAAGATATGGACCGAACACAAATTAAGAAATTTTTCTTCCAGTGACCTTGAACTTCCCCAAATGACCTTGGGGCAAGGTCATGACACACCCTTGGTCATGGGAAATCTTTGTATGAAATGAAAATCTACCAAGTTTATCAATGAAAGATATGTATCAAACATGAATTATGAAATTTTTCTTCCAGTTTAACAAGTTTAACAAGTTTATCCATAAGAAAGATATGGACCGGACACGAATTATGAAATTTTTCTTCCAGTGACCTTGAACTTCCCCAAATGACCTTGGGTCAAAATCATGACACACCC